CGGAAATCCCTCCCCAGCCCAGAGCAGCTGTGAAAAACCAAACAGCAAAACAGAAGAGCCGAGTAGAATGTGGGCAGCGGCTCCGAGCGTCTGCGCAGGGCGCGTCCCGCCGGCGACGACGCCAGACTCGCTCATTTCTGTGGGTGGCAATAGGGTTTGAAACCTCTGGTTATATTGATTTAGTTCATTTGGACTCTTAAGGAAAGCAGAAAGTTAAAATCAAACTATTATGCCTGGCCGGGTGTGAGCGCCGACCTAGGATCCAGGGGATCGCGGTTCGTTTCCCGGTCAGGGCACAGGCCCGGGCTGCGGGCTCGATCCCCAGTCGGGGGCACGCGGGAGGCAGCCGGTCCATGACTCTCTCGTCATTGATGTTTCTCTCTCTCCCTCCCGCTTCCTCTCTCTGAAATCAATAAAGACATATATTTAAAAATAAAAACAAAATTAAACCCCAAAAAACTATTACTTATAATCCCACAACCAAAGATACGTCCTGTAAATAGATGGTAGGTAGGTGAATGTGGATAGAGGCACACACACAAATATACATAATTTCCTCCCAGTCTCATCTTTATTTTTCTTTCGTTAGGATATGTATTACATTTTCACATTTTCTTCTGATTTTAAAAAATATATACTTGTTATAGAGCATTTGAAAAACACATAGAAATATCAACAAAACCCCTGTACCCCAAGGTCACAGCTGTCATTTTTGTATTTCCTTGTAGTGTTTTCAAATTCATGTGCAGCCTGCCCATTTCTCTGACTGTAGAAGTGACAAGGTCTCGTTGCCGAACATTCAGAAACGGAGGTTAGGAAAACGGAGGACCAGGCCAGGCCCGTGGGTGGTTCAGATCCCAGAAGAGCCCAAGGCGGAGTCAGAGCCGCCGCCCTCCAGGAGGGACCCGGCCGGAGCTCCGTTTAGAAGCTGTGGGGACAAGGTCTTTGGTGCTGGAGACCAGAGGGTCTGGGCTGGTGTGGACAGGGAAACGGTGCGTCGGGTGCTTTATACACACCGCCTCCCCCACCCTCTCCCCAGTGCTCCTAAGTTGGGAGCCCAGGCTTAGGCAAGTGCCTCACCCCCAGGCCCACACAGTGACAAATGACAGAGACAGTGCTGGGTCCCAGGCCTGGGGACTCTGGAGGGACAGCACCTGGTCCACGGCCCTGCAACCTGGGCCGGTCCTGGCCAGGCTCTGGTCCCGCCCGGCCCTGGCCCTGGCATCCCTGCTCCAAGCCTCAGGTGGCCCAGGGCAGAGGAGGGGCACCTCTGCTCACAGGGGCACCTCTGCTCACAGCAGCACCCTGGGGCGGCCGGAAGGTGAAGCCCCCTGCCCAGCCTGGGGCCCCCTGGGCCCTCAGAGTGGCCCCAGCCACTGCCCTGAGTTTCAGGACGGACCTGTAGGCGAAACCGGCCCCTGCTGCCTCCTGGAGCCTGGAACCCGGCCACTGGGCTCCGCGGTTGCCTCTGGACTGGATTCTCTGGAGCCAGGATGGGAAGAGCCTGCGAGCCCCCTGCCGAGGGCCCCCGATCGCCTGGGGCTGGGGTCAGTGGAGGCGAGGGGAGCCCCGGAAGATGCTCTGAGAAGAGGGAGGCCTCCCGGTGCCCGCGGCTGCCCGGAGGAGCGCGGGGCGGGGCCGCGCACACACTTGTGCACACTCACTGACTCGTGCGCTCACACACACAGGCCCAGCCGGGTGTGGAAATAGCTCTGGCTGTGGGGCCCAAGTCCTGTGACTATCTAAGGATTAAGTGTAAGGCCTGACAGGGAACCCAGAAATGGGCCCGCAGGCTGTGACCTCTCCGCGGGTGGACGGCGTCCTCCAGTGAGCGTCCAGTGCACGTGGACCTCGGCCGGAGCCTCACACCCGGAGCGGCGTCGGCTCGGATGGATCCCGGGCTTCAGCGCAAGCTGGAAAATGACAAACCCTGTAGAAAAGGGAGGGGAAGTGTTGGGGGTCTAGGGCTTGGCAGAAAGCCCTTAGAGTTGACCCCAAAAACACCATCCATACAGGGAACCCGGTAAGTCGGACTTGGTCACAGTGAGACACTTGCTCTCCGAACGACCCTCCCTGGTGGGTACCTGAGAGGACAGAATACAGGGGACATGTCCCCGCCGCGGACGCAGCGCGGACTGGTGCCCAGGCCGCGTGAAGACCTGGTGGCCCGGCCGGTGCGCCTCAGCGCCGAAAGGTCGCCAGCTTGATTCCCCGTCGGGCGCGTGCCCGGGTTGTGGGCTCGGTCCCCAGTGGGGGGCGCACAGGAGGCAGCTGATCGATGACTGTCATCGATGTATCTCCCTCTCCCCCTCCCCTTCCTCTCTCGAGAGATCAATAAAACAGGTCTTTAAGGCTGGTTAGAGCCCGGCAGTGAGAAACAATCCGATCGGACAGTGAACAGGAGACAGGGGGACTTTCCACCCTGGAGAGCGTGTGGGTGGCGGAGAAGCCAGACGTTCAGCATCATTAGCCGTCGGGAAACGCAGACGGAGCTACGGGCTGTCCCTGCGCACCTCCCAGAGTGACTAAAGTAAGAAACGGCGACAACCCCAAATGCCGGCCAGGACGTGGAGAAGCTGGGGCCCTCGGTGTGGCTGGCGGGGGCGTAGGATGGCACAGCCCCCTGGCCGACGCCTGGCAGTTTCTTAAGAACCAGAAGCCAGCAGATGTCACGTGCCCTGCAGCGGCCACTCGCGGGCGTCCGTCCCAGAGGAGGAGGCCTGTGTCCGCACAAAAACTCAGACACGAGTGTCCACAGCAGCCTCCAGAAGGCGCAGCGCCCAGAGTCCCCCGGGCGACAGAGACACCCTGTGGCCCATCCGCACCGCAGGTCCTGCTCTGCCGCGAAGAGGACCGGACTGGGCACCCCCACACCCCAGGCGAACCTCCAGAGAATGACGCCCAGCGTCCCCTAGTTTGTGGTCACCTCAGCCCAGCCTCTCGTCTTCACGGCCTCGTCTGCGTCCAGATCTCCGTCTCCTTCGTAACGACACCAGTCGCTGGGTCCGGGGCTCGTCTCCATCCAGCGGCCTCATCCTAACTCGTATCTGCAAGGACCCTATTTCTAAATAAGGCCACGTCCGGGTGGGCGTGGATTTGGGGGGGACGCACCCTCCAGCCCTTTCCCCACGCTGGCAGAGGAAGTCGGCGTGGGTCACGCAAACGCACGCGCTCGGTGTTCAGGAATAAGGGTGGCTCAGTGGTTAGCGATCACCCTGTTCCGTCGCCACCACCAGGAGATGGTTTCCTGGGGGGACGGGGTGGCAGGAAGGGGGGACGGGGCGAGGGAGGGAGAAAAGGAGACTGAAGATGAGACCTCCTGCTGGAACGTTACTGCTTCCTTCCGTCCATTTGCCGTGACTCGGAGGCACGAACGGGGGTGATTTAAAGGAAAGTGCCTGTGGTGGGGAGCACGCGGGAAGAAAATAGCCTGTGTGGGTGGCTGATGCGGGGAGGAGGGCGCCGTCCGGGGGCGCACCCCCTGCACGGACGCGAGCACCCGAGATCTCTCCTGGCACCGCGTGGCCTGAGGCAGAAGAAACCCTCCGGAAGCCCAGGGTCACAGGGGAAAAGCGGGTTTTCTCTGGTTCCTGGGAGACTTTAAGGGTCTCCACGCGCGTGCATCTTCCCAGGCCTGCGACCGAAGCCCCAGCCTGCGCCAGGCCCCTGGTCGCCCTCCGCTGACTCGGCCCCCGCGGTGTCCTGCCCTGTGGCCCAGACCTCAGCCTCGGCCCCTCCACCTCCTCCCTCCCTGCAGCTGGGTGTTCCCTCCAAAATGTGCACCCGGCCCCTGCTTCAGACTCCTGGGTTTCTAGAACCCTGGGCCGAGGCGGTCAGACGGCCCGCACTCCAGGCTGGGCGGGAGGGGCTGGGCCTGCCCCCCGCGCCCCAGGCCGAGTGCTTTGAGCACAGGAGCGAGGGGAGGAAGGAGCGAGTGAGCCCTGAGGTCCAGCGCCAAGCGCCTCGTGGTGTTTCCGACAGGGCGACGTCCTGACCACCAAGTACCAGGTGGACCTTGGGGATGGCTTCAAGGCCATGTCCATGAACCTCACGCTGAGACGGGAGCGCCTCCGGCACTGCTACAAGAGCCCCGGCGTCTACCGCGTGGCCGTCAGGGCGGAGAACGTGGCGGGGCGTGACGAGGCGGTGCTCTTCGTCCAGGTCAACTGTGAGTCACCGCGCCCTCGAGACCCAGAGTCGCTCCCTGTGACAGAGAGAACCAGGGCCTGGGGAGATGGAGGGAGCCCCTCAGATCCACCCACCCCGTCCTTAGGACTTGAGCCCAAGGGCAGGGAGGCAGGCGGGCTGGGCTCAGGTCCACACCCTGGTGGTCTGCACAGCCGGGTTGGTGGTGGTGATGGTGGTGCTGGTGGTGATGGTGGTGGTGCTGGTGGTGATGGTGGTGATGGTGGTGGTGATGGTGGTGGTGGTGGTGATGGTGGTGGTGATGGTGCTGGTGGTGATGGTGGTGGTGCTGGTGGTGGTGGTGGTG